TTTATCCACAACCTGCTCTTATTTGTTCATGTCCTGCCTTCAGGAACCTAAGGAGATAAATAACTCAAGGCAGTGAACATACATAATGCTTCTTCCTCCTTTTTTCCCCACAACACCAACCCTGTGAGGTGGGTTGGCTGAGAAAGAGTGGTTGGCCCAAAGTCACCCAGCTGGCTTTCATGCCTAAGGCGGAACTAGAACTCACAGTCTCCTGGATTCTAGGCCAGCACCTTAACCACTACACTACACTCCTACTCATTTTAGGAGACAATGGCATTGCAAATTGGAGAAACCTTGTCTTACTGGCATTTGTGACTCTCTGTGCTTTTTATCTGAATATAGCTTTTTTAAAAAAAATTGTTATGTCCTAATTATTAACTATATTTCTCATTTTGAAGGTTTAATATAGTAAATTATTGGGACCAATTATTGCATAGTGTAAATGATGTCCCTACTTAATATACATGGAAGAAAAAAGCTAAAGGAAGAAACCAGATGAATATGTGGGAGAACCTTTAGTGAGGGGAGAGGAGCAGAATCGACTAATAGTTAGAAAGTGGTAGAAGGAGGTGGAATGAATTCAGATCTTACTAGTATCAAAGAATTCACACTGCACAGATGATGATGCATAGAAATCCATGGAATGAGCAAAGCAGATCTACCTATAAATGAAGCAACAAAGGGGGGAAAACAGATCATGTGACTATCTTCTGAAAGTTAGGATTTTCCATAGTTAATGGTTAGCTTAATCTCACTAATGACAGAATAACCAAGAGCTGATGATTTAATTGACAGTGACTGACGTTGATGTCTCTCACAATGACCTCAGCTTGTTTGGGGCCATATGACTACTTGTTGGCCCTTTGAACTTTTGAAGTTTTCTAATACCAGCTGTTTGGTTATCATCTCTCTTTCCCTTTCTTTGACACTTTGGATAGCTTTCCTGTGTACTAGTGACCCTTGGGATGTTGGACAAACATGTAATTTGGAATTAATAGGCCAGCTATGAGGTTATGGCCAGGTAGGAGTAAGAATAGCAAAAGGCATGTGGGACAGGAAGCCAATTAAATTTAATTGGCTTTGCCGTCCATTCCAGTTATCCTTATGCATACCACTAGAATAAGTTTTGAAAGCTTGTTTCCCAATTCCTCTCTGTCTTCAGCCTCCTGAAACTGGATAGAAACATGTAAAGAGAATTAATTTAATGAAAGAAAAATTATAACAGAAGGGGAGTGCTCGCTTTAAGGAGATTAAACATTTCTGAAAACTTCTAGAGTTTATAAAAATGCTATCCATTTCCCTACTCTGCAGTTTTTTATATGAACTTGGTCATAACTTGCATTAGCTCAAATTTGTTAAAGATGAGATGAAATTATTATACGTTGGTCAGCAACTTCAAAAATTGCTTTCTACAGATTGATTTTTCCTTCTCCCAGCCTTGCTGCAATTTTTGTTCTTTTTCTCTCAAATAGGGAAAGAAAGTAAGAATGAAAATTGCAACAAACCATTCCAAATTTTCATGCATAAAGAGGGAAAAGGGATGTTTGCAAATCAAGGAGAACCAGAAATGAGTGAGAGAAACCAGTCAACAAATGGGAGTAAGAAAAACTCAACTTTGCAATGTGTTCAAATTCGAGATGTTCTTGCCCAAAAAGTTCACAAAGAAAATGGAGAAAATAATTAGAGAAAAGTGTGAAAATATTCAAAGACAAATCAGATTAAAAAAAAAAAAATTACACAGCCCACATTAAAAGGGAACAGGATTGGCACAGGGAGAATGAAAAAAGTTACAATTCAACGTTGACTATTTCTTTACAAGAGAGAGTCAAGATGGGAAAGAAAACACATGAATGCATGGAGTGTGGAAAAGGTTCAGCACTAGCAGTAACCTTACTCGCCATAAAAGAATCCACATGGGGGAGAAGCCATATAAATGCAAGGAGTGTGGAAAGCGCTTCTGTCAAAAATGTAACCTTATTTCGCATCAAAGGATCCATACAGGGGAGAAACTATATAAATCCATGGAGTATGGAGAGAGCTTCAGGTGGAACAGTGACCTCATAAAAGGATCCACACAGGAGAGAAACTCTGTCAATGCTTGGAGTGTAGGAAGAGTTTCAGCAAGAGAAGCCTGCTTTTTTCCCACAAAAGAATCCGCACTGTGGAGAAAACATATAAATGCATGGAGTGTGGGAAGAGCTTCTGCACTAGTAGTGGACTCAATTTTCACAAAAGTCTCCACATGGGAAAAACCCTATAAAAGCATGGAATGTGGGATGAGCTTCAGAGGGCACAGTTACCTAATTTGCCATAGAACAGTCCACACAGGGAAGGTAATGTGCAGTAAGAGTTTTATGTGGAGCTGGTACCTTGTGTCTCATAAAAGGACTTACATGGGGGAGAAACCATAGTCATGCAATGAGAGAAAAGTTTCTGGAAAAGCAGTTCCCTAACTTCTCATAAAAATATTCATACAGGGGAGAAACTCTATAAATGCTTGGAGTGTGGAAAGAGTTTTAATAGTAACAGTTCCCTTCTCATAAAAGGGTCCATACACAGGAGAAATGTGTAAATGCATCAAGTGTGGAAAGAGTTTAAGGTGTAACAGTTCACATCAAAGGATCCACACAGGGGAGAAACCATATAAATGTGTGCAGTGTGGAAAGTACTTCCCTAATAATTCATCCTTTACAAAACACAAAAGAATTCACACAGGAGAAAAATCATATAAATGTAAGAATACTACATGCTGGCCATTAAGAGAAAAAGAAGAAATCTCAGGGGACTTAAGATAGAACAGGCTTAAGAAAGAAACAATGATGCATACTAGTAATAAATAATTGGTAATAGTAATAATTAACTATATTATACTTAATATAATTAACTATATTAACAATGTAACTC